AAAGAGTGGTGTTCGCTTCTTACAGAGAGTAAATATTCCTCCTAAGTCGATGACCTAAAGGACATGATATGAATTTGAGCTTAACAGATAGGCAGGATAGATGTCCATGTCCGCAACTCATAGCAGCATGAGAGACTTTTATTTGCGTGAGTTCCTTTGGAGAGGCAAGGCAAAAAATAGAAAATTTTAAAGTAGATTCCTGAATTTTAGTGTGTAAAATATAAAATTCTTTTTATTTTGGGGGGTAAATAAGTAAAGTGAATTAACAGAAACGATCATTGATTTTTCTTTTCTTCTTACGCCCTTAAGACCAGAAAATCGAGGCACGGATAATCGAGGTTTAGTGTACTTCTATAGACGTAAACGAAGAGAAATAAATAATAAACAGAGTAAGATATCACCCCCGCCCCTAACGCAGTTCGGTTAAAATCCGAGCGTGAGGAAATAAAAACAAGAAATCAATGGACGATCTCCCACGCTAATAAGAAAGATTATTCTTATAAATGGAAAAAGGAAGGTCCCTTGTCGTCAGAAGCAGGCGTGAATCGTTGAAACTGCCGCCCATTCAATCAATGCCCGTTTGAGCGATAACTGACGTCGATTACCTCTTCGTCTGCTCCATTTACTTGAGAAAATTTACCTGTTTTTTTTTTTTCCTCAAGAAGACGGAGAACTCTACTGTCCATCATTTGGTTCCTTAGGTGCTTGACAAACTCAACAATAATCAGCAGAATTTAGCCTAAACTATCAGCAAAATGGATTCAGCAAATCCAAAATTCCTCACTAAAGGAATCAAACACAGTGTTTAACAACTTAACCAATTCAAGCTTACATTTCAAACAACCTTCAAGCTAACGTAAATCTTATGCTGTAAACAATATGGTGTTGTCAACACACACACACACACACTCACATATATATATATATATATATATATATATATATATATATATATATATATATAAAGAAAGAACAGTAAGATATATTATCCGGTGTTCTTATTGATATTTTTTATTTCTATTTTGACAAAAACAGTACTCAATGTAAATTTACAGAGCATAAATATTATAAATTAACTGATTTAAAATATGTTTTTTTTCGCTACGTAGTAATAACCATGTTTCAAAAACTGAAGCTAAAATCTTCAAATTTAATTGTATGTATATATAACGGGTGTAACAGCAAAATTGTACATTTGTTGGATTAAGCTTTTGAGATGTGACCGATGGAGAATTTTCCCATCATATTCGACGTATGAAGTTCCAGCAGCTCAACTTTCAGAACTGTACAGCCCATGACTACCTACCCAACCCATATATATATATATATATATATATATATATATATTATAATGGATACATTGTTGGTTAAATTACGCAAAAAATGAAAAAAACACTGACATCTCATTTTAATAGGTATATTTACCAAAATGATTGCAAAATATCTTATTAAGGATTAAATTTATTCTATAAAATCGCCATTGGCTTCAGCTACAGCCTCCAGACAACTTCGGAATCTCCTGTGTTTCTTCTGTACGGTCTCTTTGTTTAAATTGGTGAATGCTGCCATAGTCCTTGCCTTCTGTTCATCTTTGGTGTTACAAGGAGTTTTGTTGGTTTCTCGTCCAACTATGCCCTCACACAATAATCAAGGAGGTTGCAGTTAGGAAAGTTAGGTGAAATTGTCTGACAGCTATGTCTTGGTTCTCCTGCTTGTGTGGCATGGTGCAAATTTGTGCTGCCAGACAGAGGGTCTTCCAGCAGCCACCCTCTTGACCCAGGGCAGCACTACCTTCTCAAGCCACTTGATGTAAGCCTCCGTGCTAAGTCCGAGGACCTCACAAACAAATTCGGGAGTTCTCTTCTTATCAGAACGATCAGAATGGGTTTTTTGAGCTGCCGTATCTTCGAAATCACCATTAGACTCATCCAGATACTTCCGAATACTCTGCACTGACTCCTAAACACCATTTGAGCGTCCGGCGCGAATGCCAAGCAGTAAGACATGTTGTTTCCAAATTTATGGCGGAATGAATTGCGTTATGGTAGTTTTTTCTCACAGACGATGCCCAATTGATCCTACTGTACTGTGCAGTCGACAAAATAAAAAAAACCATCAAACGACTCGCATGCACGAAATTCCAAACATAAAATGGCGACAATTTACCCATCGCACCCTTTATACATACATACATACATACATATATATATATATATATATATATATATATATATATATATATATATATATATATATATATTCTGATTTTGAAATTAAATTGTTCTTTTCGCTCGACAGTGGTTTAATATCGCCTGAGGAGACGCATTTGTGGTGTTGAAACATGATTGTACAAGTGTAGCGATTTTTTATGTTTATATTATATATATATATATATATATATATATATATATATGTGTGTGTGTGTGTGTGTGTGTGTGTGTGTGTGTGTCGTGTGTACCTATTCTATCTATCTATCTATTTATATATCTAATAATGGACTCTCCGTCGGTTTCGACGTATGAGGATCTAACAGCTTAATTGATTCAGTTATGAAATTTTTTGCGATAATCTTAAGTGGCATTTAAGACCCGCTAGTGATTTACAAAGGAGGCCACATATGGAGCAAGAGTGAGGATTGTGAGATGAGATCACTGACCTTTTAGATCTTGCTCTCGCTTCTTGAAGATGATTCAAACAAGCAGATTGGAAACTGCTGAGTCCACTAAAACATGTTGATCTTCATCATACACACACACACACACACACACACACACACACATATATATATATATATATATATATATATATAGTGGTATCCTATTGCTTCGCGTGAACCGATTCTTAAAATTAGAAACGCTTAGTGAATCGGTTGCTGGCTTATCGGCACGTAGTTTCGTATCCAACCGTAAACAAAAAGAATTTCTAGAATGGATTTTTATTAATTCGACAGATTTGTATCACTTAAACATTATTTTTAGTCTATACTCATATTCCAGTAGATTCTCCGTTTTTTTTCTTTTATTAAACAGTATATGCATTTATTTTCACCTACCGGCTTGAATGATGGGAATGTTTTTTTTTTCAAACATGTTCAGCATATTTTGGCCGTATTCATAGTTGAGCTTATTGAATGTTGGATTTTCCTTTCATATTATTAATGCTTCCATTATTTTATCCCATTTTTTATAATTTTTCTAACACTAAATTTTACTCAATAACAGGCTCAAGAGCCGCTCAATGTAGAGCCTCACTTGTAAAATGGTTCTGGTGAATGGGGTTTGTGATATGGATGAAGTGACCGGAAGTAAAGATAGTCAGGATGTGGAGGATAGATATCGATTGTCTTGAGGAGATTGCGTAATTCCCTACTGTCTCGCACTGAATTCGTCTTATTCGAAGACTTAAGAAATACTTCATTATTCCGATATAATTCTCTGCTACTTTCTGCAAAATCTGGAGACATTAATGGAAGGATAAAGTGGATATCATGGACCAAGCGTGTGAGCAACGATAAGGTTTTGGCGAGGATGCAAACAAGGAGGGAAAGAGGCAGCTTATATGTCCGGGACACGTAACGAGAAAGGAATGCTTGGAGAATCTCATACTCACAGGTCGAATAGAGGGAAACAGGGGGTAAGGGAAAGCAACGCATGACATAGCTAGTGGGCTTAAGCAAGTGGATGACAGAACATGGCCGGGGGAGGTAGGAAAGGGACAAAATCTATTGAGAGCTACGAGGGATAGGAGGATGTGGAGAGCCATGATCGTTTACGTCCTGAAAGGACACGGCATATAAAAAGAAAGATCAATTACGACTGAGTAGTGAGTTTGATCCTCACTGGGTGCTCTAATCTTTCGACCTTGTGCCACATCTAATCTACGCTTAGAATATCACCGTAAGGCACTCGACGTGTTGTAATGATTAACTAGCTTGTCTCGCTAGATCAATTACGACTGAATAATGAGTTCGATCCTCACTGTGTGCTGCATATTTTCGGCCTTGTACCACATATAATCTACGCTTAGAAAAATCATTATTACGTCAGAACAAGTTGTAAACGTCTCTCTTGAGTGGTATACACATTCTGATACTTACCTGCCCCAGGGCTCCGTCCCTGTGCTGGTTGTATCATGGCTACGACTAGTTTGGACCGGCTCTGGCCAGCTTGGACCAGCTATGACAAGCCAAGACCATGTTGGACAAGCTAGGACCAGCTTAGACCAGCGGCCCGATTGAAAAAACTTGCGTCCCCACGTTAAAAACTGACCTTGTGTCACAACCTAACTCAGTGGAGGGGAGGGGGTCAAGTAAATCTCCTTACCGGTCACAGGGATCCGTCCCTGCGCTGGTCGTATCACTGCTATGACTAGCTTGGACCGGCTCTGACAAGCTTGAACCAGCTAAGACCAGCGGCCCGAGTGTCTTCACTCGGGTTACCACGTTAAAAACCTGACTCCGGGGGGCTTTGGGGGTCATTAAATCAATACATATATTTATTCCTTAAAATATAGGAATTGTGGCACATGGCCAAAGTAAATGAAGAATACATCAGGACAAGTTGTCTAGAATACTGTTACTTTTTTTTACTAAAGAATTAACAATTCTTATCAAAGTAAAAAAAAAAAAAAAGAAAATTTGATTTTTCAGTTTCAATTATTTTATTGGTTCCTTGTCTTGCTAATTAGAATAAAAATGTCGCTATATTACGAGACACTTTATATAAATACAAACCATTATTTCTGTTACCATTACGCGTCACGCTCTGTATTTTACAGAAATAAATATTGTTACGTGTCACGTTGAATGATCCGGGAAAAGGATAATGTGTCGTTGTTCTTCCAAAACAGGTCTTGTAATATTCAACGGGATCTTTCTGTTGGTGTCACTGGTCTTGATTATTCTTGGCACTGTTATCCACGAATCTATAGTCGACAATCCGAGTCTTATAAACAAACATGTCTCTCCTCCGGCATCCGTTGCGTTGGTTTTGGGGACCGTAATGTTTTTCATTGCATCCTTCGCTTACGTCGGCGTCTTTTGCCACCGACACAAAATGTTGCTTACCTACGCTTTCTTTCTGTTCGTCTTAATCTTTGTTGAATTGGCCGTGGGAATCCTCGCCTTTGTCACCCTGCCTCGCATCTTGAAGCATATTAACAATTCGTTGCTTTCTGCTGAGCCGGAATATGCCAGTGACAGTCTGGCCTACGACACGTGGAACGCTGTCCAGCGAAACTTGGGCTGCTGCGGTGTCAACAATTACACGGAATGGCTCGATTTTCTTGGCAATTCAACTCTTCCGGATTCCTGTTGTGCTAACTACACAATCGGCTGCGGCAGGGACGCTGTACCGACTGAAAACTTTCACCAGATAGACTGTAATCTTGCGATAAACGAATGGGTTTACAAGCACGAAATCACTGCTGCCATTGTCTTCCCTGTTCTGATCTGCCTCAAAATTGTTACTCTATTTTTATCTTATAGCCACATTGAATCGCTGCGCAAGAAAACCTATGCCGTAATTACGTGAAAAGGCTCTTATGCTTACAGCTTCTTCCCATAGTTTTATCCCCCCCCACCAAAAAAATAAAAGTAGTCTGCTTAACGGCAAAATCTTATCGTTAAAATTCTTCCACTGTTATTCGCTTATTAATCCTGCATTTCTCTAGTTCATATTGTTTTACAAATCCCTAAAAATGTAACTGACTTCTTTAAATCTACTTTAACGTCCTGGGTCAGACGATAAACTACGTCCATCAGCAAGGCCTCTGATTGGAAGGTTTCGAGATCCATGGAAGCACCACTTAATTGCCAAGTCCACCTCCCCTGACCCTGGGGTGGTAGCACACCGTTAGTCCCCCCCCCTATGGGCAAATAGTTACCCCCTCCCAAGCTAGGGTAAAAAAAACTATGAAATTTGTAAAAATAGGTTTTAATACTAGAAATTTTTTGTATAAAAAAAAAAATTACCAGCGATATATTTTAAAAATAAAATATTACCAGCAATAAAAACGGTCTTCATTAAATAACCCATGACGGTGTTGATATGCCGTAAAACAAACTACTGTTATAACGTTCATTCAATGATGACTTTACATTTGTTTTGCTTCTAAGTTCTTTTTGGTTTTTACATATTTTTCATTACTCCTAGAAATGTTCTTATCATGCGCATATAAACATTAACGTACCGAGTTAAAAAAAGAAAAGCGTTCTATGAAAGACTTTACTTCCAAAGTTTTAGTCGTTAAAATTGTATTTTTCAACACTTATGGTTTTTCTATTGTTAATCCCGGAAACCTTTTCTAGCGTTCATCCAACATGGTTACGACTGCGCACAGTCTATACATTTTTTTTTCTTTCCGCCAAAAATTTAAATAGTTTAACTTGTCACTTGAGTTTAATTAGATTCTTCTCTCTACAGTAGAGACTCGACTGATCACTGCCAGCCGTCTATGTAGATTCCATATTAGAACTTTTAATAGCCGGCTTTTTTACTTCCGAAAATGGAATCGACGTAAGCCAATGTTTATTGACTTGTAACGCTCAGATCCTGTTAATTATGTCAAATTGAAGTTGTTCAGTTTGGCTATCGTTACCCTCCGTCCCATATGGTATGGTCAACCATATCCTGGGACCTCTGAAGTACAGACGACCGAAAAGGACAACATATTGCAATAGCATATTCCAAATATTAGAACTTTAATGTGTGCGTATGTGACGAACGGTACTAAGATATTTTACCCAGCCAAGAAGGAACTTTAAAAGAGAATTTATTATTTTTTTGTTGGACTTTCAGAGCACACATCTATTTATAACTCACTCACTCATAAAAACATCGAGGGGAAATTTCAGTGTCACCCATTATACCTTTGCAACAAACCCATTATTTAAAACTAAATTAGCATGACAGATTACCTTGTGTCCAATATATTCGTACATTTACGATAAAGCTCCTTATCTTTTTTGTTAATTCACCCCCCCCAATAATGTAATGTTACTTATCACAAATATTAATTCACCCCAAGATATAAATTTGAAATCAGTGTTTTTTTTTTTTTTTTTTTTTTTTTTTCTTTATTAAACTTTTGGTACTCCTTTGAAATTAAAACTTTTGAAATCAAAATTTCTTTAGCTTGCCTCGCAACAACTCTAACTCTAAGAATGAAAAATCGGAGTTATTCACATTTTGTAAGTGCGGATGTTATTCGAGATACTTAAAAGAAGTTTGCTTTGTGTGTGTGTGTTTTTTTTTTTTTTTTTTTTTTTGTACAATTTGGAAAAATGTTTTTGGCTCGTTTATCGGTGTGAGCGCACCGCAGACCCCAGACTTTGAAATAGAGCACCCGTATCACTCCATATTTGGAGTGATTGCACAAGTCAAGCGGAGTCCAATGAAAAGGCCGCGTTCTGGGACGATTTGGTGTGAATTTTAGTAAATATAAATCCTTTTTATTTTGGGGTGATTTAACAGAAAAGATCTTCATATTCAATTGATAAATTCGGCACCATAAGACATCAACTAAAACTCCTCGTGAAATAGAAGGATTTTTAACAAATGGTGGAATAAAAAAAATGGACGAGGTGCAGAATTAATTTCAACTCTAAACTAATTAATGAAAGTTGCAGAAAAAATAAATTCTAGAATTATCTGCTAAGGATTTTTAATGCTAAATTAAAAACTGAACACCAACTCATTGCATTTTGTTTAAGGAATTCACAAAAATTGATAAATTTGATTTTAAATCGAGTTGAAATTAATTCCGAGATGAAATTAATTCCGAGTTGAAATTAGCTCTGTTACTCAAATGGACGACCAATAGATTTTCTTGCAAGGTGTTTTTGTTTTTTATTCCTATATTCTTGAATTAATGTTGACCCGATAAAAATAGACGGGGTTTACCGGAGAAGGTTGGGCGAGCTGGAAAAGAGATAGAGACTCAGGCTATTTGGGAAAGACAAAAGTTAACCCTAGACTAAAATAGTTTAAGATTGTAATGGCCACGAAAGTATGATCTCGGGTGTCGATTCCACAAAGGATCGTGTTGTGAAAATTAATAAAGGATGCCGTTTCAGGAGATTAGATTTCATAGCTCTCCACAACTTCCTGTTTTTTATTGTTGTGATTTTTAACTTTTTGTCATGTATCGACGACCCTGTTATTCAAAGTCGTTGTATAAAACGCTGTTATACTCACCTCTGCTTCTATTGCCTTCCAAAATGTCCGCTATGACTGTCTTTCCTTGGTGAGCCTCGCAGAAACTTCAGCTGCCATTTTCTAATGTAGTCTTATTCTTGCTTCTTATTCTTATGGATGGAACAAGGTAGACAAAAACACTCTTGCTGCTTCTGTCATATTAGAAACACAAAGGCATACAGCAACTTTCACACACCGTTAGTCCTCAAAGTTAGCACCATTAACATCCAGAATTTTCTGGAAACGTATCTCCTGCTACGCAATGCCCAGGCAGTAAGAATCAAGTGTCTTGCATGCAAAGATGTCTGTGAATGCCCTCTTCAATCACCCACATTTGCAAAGGTTAAGATTGTAGTGGCCTCGAAAGTATCTTCTTGGGAGTCAGTACCACAAAGTATCGTTTACCCGCTTTACCTATTGATATTGCTGCTTAATACTAATCTTAATCACTTTGAGGGATTAATGGTGATCTTAACCGAACCCTTTCATGTCCACGATAACCAAAAAAGTTCCTTGCCGTTGTTGATTTATTAGAAAAAAGGTATACAGCAATTCTGGTATACCGTTAATCCTAAAAGTAATACCCATCGGAATCCAGAATCTTTTGCCAACGTGCTACCAGCTACGCCATACTCAGGCGGTAAGAATCAGGTGTCTTGGATGTAAAGAAGTCTGTGAATGCTTGCCGCAAGTCTGCCTCATTTGCAAAGGTTAAGATTGTAGTGGCCGCGAAAGTATCTTCTTGGGAGTCGCTTCCACAAAGTATCGCGTGTTATGGAAAGCTGTTAGTGTAACTTACTTCTCGTTAATGGCATTCAAGGGGAATGTAGATGGTTTGCCTCTATATGCAAATTCTTAACTTTATAGGAATTATCGTGTGTGTGCTTTAGTCTTTGATTCTGCCTGTGATTCTTAGCTATTAACAATGCAGGATGAGGATGTGTTATGAGGACGTATCAACAGAACATCTCGTCAGCTACTTCAGAAACATGGTTGATAATTTTTTTGCATTCACTACCAGAGTAAAAAAAAAAAAAAAATGGTAAGCCTTGGTTTAGTTTAAACTTCAGTTTGTACGTAATTATTGGTCAGTAATAAAAAAAAATCCAAAACGAAGAAATATACTGAAAAATCTTGTAAAATCTCTAGTCATTCTCTAGATGGCAATTGTTAACCACTACCATGTCTTTAAAATAAACATCCCTACGCGATAATATAGAAGGTAACCCAAAAATGCCGTTTTTATGATATTTAAAAAAGTTACACAGCAAATTTGACATACCGTTAGTCTTCAAAGTAAATCTCCTCGGCATCCAGAATCTTTTGACAACCTGTCTCCAGCTGCGCAATTTGCGAAGGATTTCACACGAAGGTGGTTCTCCAGGGAATGGAAGAGGTAGGTGGTAATCAGTTGGCGCAAGAGCCGGAGAATAAGGTGGATGGCGCAGTGTCTTCTACCCAAGGTGTCTTATGGTATCCCTGGCCATACGCGTCGCATGAGACGAGAAGAATCAGGTGTCTTTCACGTAAAGAAGTCTGTGAATACCCGCCATAAGTCTGCCTCATTTGCGAACGAAAGTTGTTTTCCATGGAATGGAATAGTTAGTAATATGTTGGCGCAAGATCGAGGAAGTAAAGTGGATGGCACGATTTCTCCCAGCAAAGTCACAAGATACTATCCCTCCTCCTCCTCTCTCTCTCTCTCTCTCTATATATATATATATATATATATATATATATATATATATATATATATATATGCTATTGTAGGATTGGTGTATACGGAATAAATTCCAATAACCAACAAATGCTATTCTTAAAAGAGTGCTCAGTACAGAGTAGAGCAAATATAATTCTTTATTCGAAAATTATGACATATGTTATAAAATCACTTCAAAAATAGTCATTTTGTTTCAACACTTCTGGTGTCTTATCAAGTGATGGTGTTGAATGTAGAATCCATTACTGGGTAAGACGATAAACTACGTCCAACAGCAAGGCCTATGATCAGGAGGTTTTGAGGAGCGTGGAATCATCTCTTAATTACTGGTGGTCCCAGCTCCACCCTGACCAGGGGTGGTAGCACCTGTTAGGGTCCCAGCTATGGGCAAATAGTTAACCCCGAAACTGACGTAAAAAGCATTATAAAAGTGTAAAAATGGGTTTTAATACCAGAGATACTTTGTAAAAGATTGTTACAAGAAATAAATTTTTGAAGAAAAAAAAACAAACTTACCAGCAATATATTTTTGAAAATGATATTGCCAGAAAATAAAGTTGTTGGCATTAAATAACCCAATAAGGTTGATATACCGTAAAACACAACAAACCAAACAAACTAAACCAAATGTGAGTTTAACAATTTGAATGGAGAGTGGCTCTGAAAAGGGCCGTTTTTGCATTCTCCATCTTGAAAGGAAGGAACCTCTTCCCTGGACCGTCATAATAATAATAATAATATACGATTATTTTTATTCATAATATAATTTTTTTTTTTATAATTCTAATAATATTTTGCGTTAGATTTCAACTCTCTAAATTGATTGTGTGCTTATTTTTACAGACATTAAATTTTTCCTCTGATTTTTGCGTAAAGTGTAAAAAAATCAGTTTTTTCGATTTTTCCTCTTCAAGGTTGTAATTTTTTTTCCGGCCAATTTGGACTCAAACCGGCACTGAAGAATCAAACAAAAAAAATCATCGAAATCGGACCAAAACTGGAAACGGATAAACAACATCCGATCACACACACACACACACACACATATATATATACACATTTTGAGAATTATAGATATAGATTATAGATTATTATTTCTATCGTAAAAAGACTGATCATAAAAACTCTTTCTATATTCGAGTATATTCGGCACTGTATACCTCTGATCAGCACCCATTTGTCAAAATCCGTCTTTGGCAAACTATGGAATCGTTATACATTTCTAGTAGCAATGAAACGTAAAAAACAAAATAAATTGCAAAACATGTGGCATCAATTCATTCAGAGTCTTTGAAAAGCCGCTCATAAGGACAGTCAAATGAAACTGGCTGCAGAATATAATAACGCCCTGTTTTTGTAAAAGCGTTTTATTCTTTGACGAACGCTGTGTTCCCTTCGATTTGCCAAACGAATAGAAGATAAGCAGCGGCAATTGGTGGAAATCGCTCTCATAGGTTGTATTCCCAACAAAGCGGATCCAGTGTTGCTTTTTTTTTTCAGCGTTGGGTGGGTTATATGTAATGATGTGCACCTATGACGAGTTTATAGTGTTAAAATGACAGTTCCGACATACATGAAAACAGTGTCATTGAAAGTACCATTATGGGTTGAGGCGTCAACAAAGCTGAGGTGGTGTATGTTTTAGGGAGGCATAGATAATATGAAGTGGTGAGCCCATGACCAGTTTCAGATGGTGTTACAATAATAGATCAAACAATGGTTAATTTTTAAAGGTACACGTAAAGTTATGGTTCAAGAAGAAACCAAAGGCGTTCAGAAAAGAAAAGAAAAGATGGTTTTTATATACGAAAATGCGCTATGGAATTCGGCAAATAAAACTATTAAATGAATAAAAAAACAAAACAACGACAAAAAAAAAAAATCAGCTACTTCTCCCGGCCTTATATCGATTGAATACATGTGGAGCATTCTAGATAGGAATGTTTACATTAGCGAACGCCACTTTATCAGCAAAAACGAACTTTGGTATGTTTGTCTGGATCCTGTGCAGTTGGAGAAACAATAATCCACGAAGTTACAGGATAAATGACGTCTGAAACCATTTCCAGGTCGTTTAGTTACTCGTTAATGTTGTCTGTATAAGTTTGACAGCATTAAAATGACACTGTAGCCTTTATTCTCTTTTAATTCAAAATAATTGTATTTATCAACTATTCCAACGTGGTGCAATTCAAATATTTAATTACAAGCTTACTCGGAGTTTCAGGAATCTGGCTAATAATTTGAAACCGATAAAAATCATCCAACTATTGCTAGATTAACATTTAGTCTATTATTTCTGATCATTATCTATCTATCTATCTATCTATCTATCTATCTATCTATCTATCTATCTATCTATCTATCTATCTATCTATCTCCGTCCTGGGTATGACAATAAACTATATCCGAATCCTGGGTAAGACGATAAACTACGTCCAGCAGCAAGGTTTCTGATCAGGAGGCCTTGAGGAGCGTGAAACCACCTCTTAATTGCTGGTATTCCCAGGTCTACCCTGACCTGGGGTGGTAGCACCTGTTAGGGTCCCAACTATGGGCAAATAGTTAACCCCTAAACTGGAGTAAAAGCACTATGAAAATGTAAAGGTGGGTTTTAATTCCAGAAAGACTTTGTAAAAAATTATTACCAGCAGTAAGTTTTTGAAGAAAACTATTACCAGCAATATTTTTGAAAAAAATACATATTACCAGCAATACATTTTTGAAAAAAAAAATCTATTACCAGCAATACATTTTTGACATTTTTGAAGGAAAAATTATTACCAGAAATAGATTTTTGACAAAACAAAATATTACCAGCAATAAAAATTGTTGGCATTAAATAACCCATTGAGGTTGATATGCCGTAAAACAAACCAAACCAAATCAAACCAAATCTGTCCTGGTTATGACGATAAACTCCATCCACGTCTTGGATAAGACGATAAACTACATCCAGCAGCAAGGCCTCTGATCAGGAGGTTTTGAGGAGCGTGGAACTACCTCTTAATTGCTAGTTTTCCCAGGTCCACCCTGACCCATGGTGGTAGCACCTGTTAGGGTCCCTGGTATGGGCAAATAGTTAACACCCAAACAGGTTCTAATACCAGAAATACTTTGTAATATATACTGTTAGTGTGTAGATTTTGAACTAGTGCGAGCAAAATATTACCAAGTGAGTAATTAAAAAATAAACTTTTTACGAAAATAAAACCATCCAAGATTGTAAATTTCCTAAAAGAAGTTGGATTGTACTCAGATATATAAGTAATTGAAAAATGGTTCAAATATATATGTATACATACACATGTTTTTTTTTTTACCAAACTATCGCTATGAATCTATTTAAAAAGATTTTGTTGGCATTAAATGAACCACTGAGCTTGATGTGCCTTAAAACCAATCAATCAATCTATCTATCTATCTATCTATCTATCTATCTATCTATCTATTTGTTCCAGTCCGTTCATATCTAGCTAGCTAGCTAGCTAAGTCTAATCATTATCTTTTTATGCTATTTTTCGTTTCTATTAACATGTGTCTTTAAATTGTTGAAATCTATCTCTCCCACTATGTTTCCATAATCTCATATTCTCACTGCCCCATTATACCCTAGACTGATTGATCAACCACAAATTCGCTTTAGAGAAACGCCCCCCCCATTTTTGAAGGCCGGTATATCTTTAACCCTGATGCTCCTGACCAGATGCATTTGATTTGCTCCGTTCCCCGTGCTGTCTTGTCCAGACTTTTCTTACCTCAACCTCTGACACCAGAAATCAACATGGCTAATGGGCAGGCAAAGGCTTTCAGTGCGGCTGTTCAAGGCACTTGTTCAGACAGGATTTCGAAGTACCTGCAACTTTGTTGAAAAAATCAAATAAAAATAATTGGATCAGATACGGATCAAGGCAGATTGCTCACCTAAGATTAATGACTAATGTACTTAGTTAAGATCAAAGTCGCTTTTTAACAATAATCCGCGATAATGATTTTCTTTTTTTGTGCCGTTTCCCGTCAGGACTTTAGGCGATCATGGCTTCCGATGTCCCGCAGCTCATAGTAAAGTTTATCTTTTGACTAACATTTGCACTCCCTGTTCTTCCAACCATTTATATATGCTCGTTAGGTCGGCTATACTCTGTTTTCGTGTGTCCTTTCGGACGTTGGTGATCATGGCTCTCCACAATTTCCTGTCCTTTGTAACTCTTAATAAATGTTGTCTTTTTATCATCTCTCTTAAACCTTGTTCCGCCATCCATTTAAACACGCACTCTAGGCTGGTTGTGTTCTTTTCCTCTGTACTTCTCGGCTTCGATATATCTTGTGAGTGTCCAATTTCCAAGCCCTCTTTTCTCATTATATTCCCTAGATATTTCAACTAAGTACATCCTTGTGCAAATTAATTGAAACAAAACGAATAATTCCGTTATTATTTAATTTTCACATTTTTCCAATGAAACATGACCCAGTGCACATGTTAGTACTTCGTATGTCCTTTCCAAGAAGTCATTCCTTGCAGATTGACCACAGATTCTCTATAGTCTATAGTACTTTGATTTGCTCACAGGTAAGGCTTTTAGTATATTCGTGCAGAGTTACAAATTTCGTACGCTGCACGAGAGTAACGACTATCGCAGACAATAGCCATAGGAAAACTAATCGACAGTCGAGACAATAGTGAAAAAAAATTGATGCAATCATGGCTGACACAATTTTTTTCAAGGCCAAAGTAATTTCATCAAACGCCCCGAAAATAGATTCATATTACTGCACACCACTGCAAATCTGAGTATAAAAATAAAATTCGATTACACCCTCTCACTCCAGTGGGTCTAAAACTGGCTGCATGATGAAAGAACGGAAACTAAAGTGGTTGTTTAAATTAACTTGTACAAGGATATATAAGTTACCTTAATGTATCAATTTTCTCAATCTTCGTCATTCCTCAAATGTTCAATCATTAATATTTTAAGTATCTTTCTGTAGAAGCACATTTCTGTCGTCTTAAGTCTCTTCTTAGTCTGTAAGGAGATTGTCCTTTATTCACTGCCATATAGGAGGACTGATATCGCATAGCAGCATCTCTCTTTTTTAATGTAATTTTCTTAAAAGTTTTCCAAAGTTTTCTTTTTGTTTTTTCTTAATGATTTTTACCCCCAAGCAAGACGGGAATGCCCCTAGTACGCAGTGGTTTGGGTTCAGTGAGTGAAAGTGAGAAAAAAAAAAAACTAAGTAGAGAGAGGAATAAGAAAAGGACAAAAGATGAAGTAAATTCAAAAAGACTGGAGATGGTGATTGGTGTTAAATTTAAATTTTTGTAGTTATCAGGGAAGCAAGTAAGCGGAAGGGAGTTCCACAGACAGGAAGTACGAGAAAGAAACTTTTGGAGTAGAAGCGGCGGTTGCAGTTAGCTATTTCGACAGCAAACGGGTAGGATCCAGATGCCAATTCGGTAGTACCTTAAATTCATGAATTCAAAGCAACAGGGAAAAAAGCTCGCCAGAGAAGATACCCTGGAAATATTTGAAGGCAAAAAAATAGGGAAGCTACCCCACATCGATGAGAAAGTGACAGAAGTCGAGGGCCTTTGGATTTCAGGGTCACATTTTGTGTTGTCTGTTATAAGAATTCCTACAGAACATTTAGTCGTGAACCAGATAGCAATTCTCAGTCACCCGGTGCGGATCTAAATCACTCCATTAGAAATAGTCGACGACATTAGCTTATTGACTATTGCTTAATTGTGATGTAATCTTGGATATTGCTTAGCGTAGCTTTGTTTGACAAAAGGCCACACATTTAAGGAACACACTGAGGAATGACTAGATTTTTAACAATTGCTTCTCGGTGAGGAAACATTTATATGTCAAACTCGATTAGTGACCTATTGCGCCTTCGTGGACTAACGTTGTTTGCTGACATGATATGGAAAGATTATATTGAATCAATTGCTAATTTTGTTGCTAAGAAAGTTAGTTTATTGTATCTTGCTAGACATTTTTCCTCTCTAATCTATCTTAAATATTTATAAATCTACTAATCTTCCATACTTGGAATATTGCTGCCACATATGGTTTGATATCCCTTCTATATATTTAGAGAGTCTTGATAAAATCCAAAAAACAATCCGCAATATTAATGGTCCTGACCTGACAACGCGACTTCAGTCGCTTTCTTATCTCTGTGATGTAGTTTCCATCTGCCTTTTTCTATAAATTCTTTCATGGTAATTGTTCCGATGAACTTTTCTCTATGGTACCTAGACTTTATGAATTTAAGCGCGGTATTAGATTGGTAACAAGTTCTCATCAATTTATAGTCGATTTGGCTAAATGCAACCGTAAGTTCTACGCTAATAGTTCCTTCTCACACATTTCTCGTTTGTGAAGCTCTTTTCCGACTTCTTGCTTTTTGTTAACTAATCTTCAAAAATGTAACTGCAATTTCAATCGTTATCTTCTGTCTTCTTAATTCCCGTTCTTTTATTCTTCTCTTGATTTAATAATGGTTTTTCTCATATTCTTTCACATTCAGTAACTCCTTGTACCTTAGTGGCTTTATTGCCTTGCTTATAGGTGGGTGATTAAACAAAATTACAAGTTTGAAATAGTTTAATTCCCAACATAATTCCTGGTTATTTTAAAACTGGCAAATGCATCATGAAGTGTTTAAGGGATAACATTATGGCCATTTGTAGATAAAAGATTTGTAGGTGATCAACTTCCAGGAGAGTGACTCATTGCTCTTTCTCGGTCAAACGTTCTTCGCTGACATGAAATGAAAACATTATATTGAATCAATTGCTAGATATGCTGCTAGGAAAGTTGGTTCCCTGCGTCGTGCTAGATAATTTTTCGCGCCAGAATCCAGCTTTCACATTTAGAAGTCGACCATTCGTCCTTGCTTCGAATATTGTTGCCACATAGTCTGGTGCTCCCGCTATATATTTAGACATTCTTGATAAAATCCAAGAAGTACCTGCAATGTTATCGGTCCTGACCTGGCATCTCGGCTACAGTCAATTTCCTGCTGCCATTGCGTATCTTCCCTTTGCCTTTTCTGTAAATATTTTCATGGTAATTGTCCTGGTGAGCTTTCCTCTATGGTACATAGACTGTATGAATTTAAGCGCAGTACTAGACTGGCGGCATGGTCCCATCATTTTACAGCTGAAATGTCTAGATGTAACCGTAAGTTCTATGTTAACAGTTTCTTCTATCGCACTTCTCGCTCGTGAAACCCTCTTCCGGCTTATTGTATCCCAATCAACTTTAATCTTCAAATATTTAAGAGAAATCTCACTCGTTATTTTCCGTCTTAATTCGTGTTCTTTTATTGTTCGCTCTCTTTTCTTTCCTTATATTTTCTAACAGTCAGTAACCCCGTGTGTGTTAGTGGCTTGGCGTGACATGAAAAAATAAAAAAAATGATGGCAAAAAGGAATACAGATTAGATTTCTGTTGGGAGGCACAGTTTTCTTTGGTCGAACTTCTCGATCTAAGCCGATTAATATTGATTTCACTGTTTAAGAAAATTAAAAAGATGAACTTGAATATGCTATCTCTAATTGATGGCACAGTAGCCTTTATGTTGGCTCATACTTGGCAGGAAACTCTCCTTTCAATTTTGCCATCGCTAAATTTTGGTCGCCTAATTTTATGTCGACTTTTTTCGTAATTTCCCCCTTCTCGTATTTCCTACTAACGAACATGATCACCGCTATCAAAATTTGGCCTTTTTCAAATTAACCAAAACATTTCTTTTTACCCATAACTGCAACATTCAACACATATTCAAATTAACCAAAATATTTCTTTTTTGTCCATAACTGCAACATTCAACACATAAAGTACGTGAGACCAGTTTATCTGATTATATGTTTGATCTTAACATATTCATTGTAGTTCTTATATCAATTTGTTACGAAACAGTAGCTGTCATTCTTGGCGTATTTTGATGGTCATAATATTTTGGTTCATTAGTGTATAAATAAATGTATATGACATATAACGTGAAGATAATGTGTAAAAGTTTTCGTTTTCAGTAATAATCTATTTTCATTTTACTTTTTACCCAAAATTGAAATTTACTTCTATTTTGTGAATTGCATTTAAGAAATAAATAAAAATAAATATGAAACATTTGATTTTGAAACGGCATCTTCGTGACTTTTGGGAAAGAATATGGTGGCTTTTACTGTGCGTGTTTCAGCTTCCACCTCGAAGGCAGATAATTGTTTGCATCGTCAAATTTGTCTGAAGAAGACAAAATAAGCGGTAAAACTAAAACTAAAAGGCAGGGGTTAGGGTTAGAGGATATTTCTAATACGAAATATCATCAGTTTGTTTCTAAAATTCTGAGAAAGAGGTTTAAAAGGCAGAATTTTTTCCCCCAAAAGGTCATAAGTTTTTTTTTTTTTTTTTTTTTTTTTTTTTAAGGTTTCAGCCCAAGCAAGGCGGGAAGCCACTAGCAC